ATAGACTCATACATACACTTATAAGACTAAAATTGCACATATAGATTATTAAAACATCAGACACATGCAATTTTTCTCACGCTATTATGGACTCACACACACACTTAAAACTGCACACGCTATTAAAATATCATACCATTTAAAGAATACAGACATACTTGTCTGAGTGAGAAGTCAAAATTGTATGTATGTGTGTGTGAACTAATACTAGACTGAATGAATGACAATACATGTATATGAGAGGCTCCCACTTGTCTGTGTGAGGTGTCATGGAAAAGGCGGGGCATAATTTGGAGATCACAAAGCACACGAGTAGATCCCATCTGAGCAACATTGGCGCGTCCAATAGGTTGCAGTGTTACAGGAATCAACCAATGGCAGTGAGCTTTAGAGACTGTAATTAGCCATGAACATGATACTGTTGATGATGATACTGTTCTGTAGACCATAGGACAAGCAATTTTTAATAGTATTTTCTCATCACCGGATCTAACAAACAGCTGACCTGTGCCTTAAATGAAAGAGCTCCCATGACCATTGATGTTGTCTCTGTTATATCCTCAGAGGATCAATAAAGTATTGATATACTATACTGGCCTTTCTCAAATTATACATTTTGCCAAAGTTGCTTAGTCTGGAATCATGGATGCATGATGCCATCTGCAAAATTATGCCCGGCCTTTTCCATGAAACTTCTCGCTCAAACAAGTATGAGTATCTTATTCACATACATGTAATGTCATTCATGATCAGTTAATTTCTATCAATGACCTGCCGGTGGCGTGTTTGTTTCTTTTAGGTATTATTTTGTTTTGCATATCAACCCATCACAGTTCCTAGAAGACAGTATCACAACTAGCAATGGCTTCAACCACACACTCTCACTGAGCCAGGAAGACAGAGGCACTGACTGAATCACGCTGAAGCTGGGGCTCCTTAGCAGGAATGTTGATGGCAGCTCTTTGAGAGGACTTAGAGAATCTTTGAGAATACGGACCCAGAAGTCCAGATATTTAACCTGTTCAACAGGTCACAAACCTCTCTGTAGTTTCTGTGTAAATCTGGTTCTTTTATGTAATGAAGACAACATCTTACTGAGTTTGACAGATCCCCTGTTTGTGGTATTACAAAATGAATTAGGCACCATGGGTAACTTGAGTGCTTATGTCTGTCCCAGGCTTCATCCCAGTGTGCAGTCTGGGAATGTGTCAGGTTGGGAGGATGGATTTTGGTAAAGATGTCAGCACTCTGAAGTACTTCACCATCTGTGGCCTGCAGGAAGGCTATGAGCCATTCGCCGTCAATATGAACCGGGATGTAACCATGTGGCTCAGCAAGAGGCTGCCTCAGTTTGTGCCTGTGCCCCCCAACCACCAACACATTGAGGTAAGCAGAGCTTCTACACAGACACACTCTGTCCTGTCTACAATATCACAGTCACTACTAATCAGGTCCCCATGTGGTTACCAAACAATACTTTATGTTTGGGCTCTGAACATCAGCCGTAGTTTTGATGCTTTTAGGAATCCTGCTGAACTAGTTTTGCCGATTGTGCCAAAGGTTGTGTTAAGTCTTGTGGCTGTAGGTGAAGGAAGGGTAGTCATTTAATAGCCAAAAAGGATAAGGATTAATTAGCCACCCTGCCAGCATGCCTATGTGGGCCCCATGTGGGGGAAAGGAGGACTGATATATGGGTCCCATATGGGTCCCATATGGGCCTTTACATATGCTGGCCTTTACACAACAAACATACTACATCGGTGTTTGTGAACCTCATGTGTACGCCAGGAGTCGCATTAACGGAATATTTTCTTGTAATAGACCGTCTTTTTTTTTTAAACGACACAAAATTTTTTAACTAGACTAAGACACTGACATGTTCAATACTTATTTTTCCTGCTGTACTTAATAAGCTGTGATCCACTGAGTTTGATGTCCAAACCTTTTATCTAGCAGACTAACATAATGAATTCAAAAGTAAAACTTTTAATTTTGTTAAGCAAATAAAACTTGTTTTATCTGTTTACCAATTAACAGACATGCAATATTTAAATGAAAGAAAGTACTCAACTATTAAAAAAAACAATTTATACACAATTGAAAACCTGAAATACTTAAATTCTCACGTTTGTCTAAGTAAAGTGAAGATATGATTTCTTAATTTTCTGGAAATTCATGCTGTATTATCAACTTTAGTGAGTGGATGCAGCCATGTCTGCTTCAGAATTCATGTTTTTTCATGTTTGTTGCAATATTTTCTACGTAGTTAATATTAAACTAAAGATATTTAATGAAAGAAACGATTGTTTTACACCTAACACTTTCTACTAAGATTTACATTTAGAAAGTTATAAAAAGTGTCCATCTGCATCAACACTTTGTGTGCTGGTGGGCCAAATTGGTACCATTCCTGAATTGAAGCCGAGGGCCACATAGTAAAATCATTTCACAAAGCCCCCGCCTCAGGTCATTGGCTTAAACCTTAAACCAATCTTAACCCTTAATGTGAAGTCATTTTATTGTAACTTGTTGATAGTCATAATGTAATGACTGATAAGTATTAATACGAGAAGATCATGATCTAAGGCTGCGTTCACACTGCAGCCTCAAGTGACCCAATTCCAATTTGTTTTGACGCAACATGACCTGAATCTGATCTTTTCATGACTGTCTGAAAAATACAGGTCAGATTCTTTTTGAATTTGACCAAGGCCACTTGGATATATTTGATATGTATCCGATTTAAATGTGACCTAACGTCCAGGTCGCATTCATCCTAAATGAACGTCACTGATACTCAACAAATGTCACTATTCTGTGTCCTGATACGTGTAAGCGGGAAGAAAAACGACATCCATGAAGGACTATAATGAGGATTAAGTTGTTAATATGCTGCTCCGGTTGGACAACTTCAAATATGTAAGCTAAGCTCCACC